ACACTTCCAGTTTTCCTTCCCCTCCTGAGAAACTGTGGTTTTGTCTGTACTGAGACCGATATGCACTGTTGTCTTTCTCAGTGGGAGTTTCTCCTCTCTTTGGTCACAAGATTGGGATATTTCTCTCTGAAAGTGGTCCGAAAAAGGGTTTGGAATGATGGTAGAGATAATATTGATAATAATAATACAATAATATTAATGAGCTAATAAATAATGGTAATGATACTGATAATAATAATGATAATAATGAAATTATTAATACATAAATGAATGCAATTGCTTAGGGGTTGGTAGCTTGAATCCTGCAGATCCCTTTACCCCTTGTTCCTAGATTTCTTTTTGTGCAGTAGCGCGACAGGGGGTAAGTGGTTCTTTCCTCAATGAGTCCTGCCCACTTCGGGGGCGTCCTCAATGATGCCTTCTCAAGGGCGACTTTCTAGAAGTAGCTTCTTGGAAGGTTTAAAGTCGGGATACGGATAACTGATTGATTACTAGGTAATCAATTAGTATTAACGTGTCTTGCTTGTTGCTGCCTATAATGGGTAAAGTCGTCCAAGTAGTCTCTTTAGGGAAGTGTCTCGTGATTGATTGTAACAGGTCGTTTTGTCCTTTTCTCTTTAGAGATCGTATGTTGCTTTTCCTCTACTTCAGTTTCCTTGGAGATTCCGTTTCCTGAATCTGCTCCCTTGTCTGATTTATTGGTCGGACTTCGTGCTTGGAGACGTGGAGGTATAGCCTCGTGGGCTGGTAGTAAGATAGAGAGTAGGGGGGCGAGCGTTAGGACGGGGGGTGGGTGCGGGTATGGATCGAAGAAGATGCATTAGCGAGGGGTTGGTTTGAGGTCGAGACTGCGGACGCGGTGGGGTGACAACGTTCGTGTTGGGGGATCATGGGGGAGTTGGTCACGATTGGTGAGTGGCAAATGTAGTCGGGAAAAAACGAGGTGGCTGTTCTTGTTCTCTATCTTTGTTGTTCTCTAGTGACCCATTTCTCCCTGGACTAGGTGCCCCTGTGCGCTAAATAATGGGACGCTGTTTCGTGGAAACTACAATCATTGGATACGCTTCCCGTTGATCTAAGTTAGGTAAGGCTCTGAAGTAGTTCTCTCCTTCTCCCGTGAATCGCTCTCCTTCTCTCGACTGCTTTGTCCTCTGTCTCTATCGCAGTTCCGTTTCCAATTTCTTCGTTGTCTCCTTAGGAAGAGGGGTCCGATGACGGCTGTACTTTCTTACCTCCAGGTTCCAGCTGGGCTTTTCTAACCTTTACGTATCTCGTTGCAGATGCCGGTGGTGTGGAACCTCCTTCCTCAGCGCGAGGTGCTTGCCTCTCTGTCCCAGCCGGTGTTCCGGAACCCCCATTTTCTTCTGCTAGTGATAATTGCCTCTTTGTCTCATCCTTTCCCGGTCCTTGCCCTTGTTTGGAAAGATGCTCTCGCGCATTGTCTCTCCCTCCCTTCTCTTCACTTCATCGCTTGGCTCTTTTGTCTTTTCCCATTCTTAGTCTCCTTTCTCTTCTTTCTTTGTCTCTTCAAGATTCCTCCCGTTCTTCTTTTCCTCCTTTGGCTATGAGTGCTTCCTTTGTCCGGCTTGCTTGCGCCACGCCCGGAGGTGTGGTCTGTCGTGGTGTGGTTTAGCTCGCCCTTCCCCCTCCTTCCCTTTCTCCCGGAGACTTCGTATTTGAAAACGGACAGGGCGCATGGAATCGCGCGCGTAGGGGATTTTCGTGCGACGCGGAACCCCGATGGTGTGAATCCCAGATAGTGTGGACACGGAGCTCGAAAGTCCTTTGTCCAGTATAATGATGTGGTGTTTGGCCGTTGCGCTATTCCTTTCCGTGCCTTGTGCTGCTGCCCTTGCTTGTCTCTTGAATGCGTGTCTCTTTCCTTGTTTTGACCCCGTCCCTTCTCGCTTCTTCTCCTTCCACTCTTCCCGCTTTGTTGTCCTTTCCCATTCTTAGTAAAGACCTTCTTCCTTTCGGTTCTCGTAGTATCTTCCCTCTCCCCTCTTGCTCCTCCTTTCCCCTCTCGTTTGTGTCTGCTTCATGAGGAGCTCGAGAACGCCACGCCCGGAGGCGTGGCGAGAAGTGTCTACTCCCTCCCTCCCTCCTTGCCCTTTCCCGCACGAATTCGAAAGAGGAGAAAAGTGCGCGCCTTCGCGCTCGTGGGAAAATTGGCCACACGAAAATTGCTTGCGATGCGGGTGCGGGACTTAGCGCTGACCGCTAGCGCCCCCCGAATGGCGTTGGCGCTCCACCCCATACCAAGCATGATCCCCTTCATCGTGCTTTATTGAACTCGGAACAGCTTCCTAAGATTGACCTGCACCCTGAACCTTTGACCTGCACCCTGAACCTTTAACCCTAAATCCCCCTAAGCCTGCATTGGGGCCTCAAGTCAAGACTGTCCCCAAACTGATGAAACGGTATTCACCAGTTCGCAGTAGCTGATGCAGATCCTAGGGCTCGATCCCTAGTCCCCACCTTACCTGTGTACAGTACCTGTGTCAACCCGTAGAGTCGAACCTGCGACCTGTAGGACTGCCAGTGGTAGGTAGGTCATCATAGGTTACAGGGTATAGGGGATTCAAACTGTAGACCTGTCGGGTAGGAGTCTAGAGAGTCCAACAGTCTTAGCTGTAGACTTTCCGAAGGGTCAAAGTCGTAGCTGCTACTTACCTGAAAGGGCCAAAGTCGTAGCTGCTACCGGACCGAAAGGCCAAGTAGATGCTTCTAGAAGTGGCCTTTCGGAGTCAGCCCACTGTAGGTCAAGGCAAGTGGGCAAGTGGTGGAAGTCCACCGTGTCGAGTCAGCAGTCCCAGTCCAGTCAGTCCAGTCTAGTCAAGCAAGTACCGCCTGGGACTGTGTGCACCGTGGGCCAGGGAAACAGGGCAGGTCGACGAGCCACAAAAGTATAAATCAAGAGGCCGTGCACAACCATTCATTCATTCCTGCGGAAGCCATGTGGAAGTGCTGTCTCAGCGGCTTGTGCGAGAAGGTCTGCAGTGTGCCCGAAGTCGAAGTGGGCCAGAAAGAGCTTAGTATAGCGATAGCGTAGAGGCAGCCATAGCTGCCATAGTTGTAGCCGGTGTGTGTGTGTTCTGTGAGTATTCAGAGTGACGCGTGTGGGATATCTAGGGTGATCGGGTGTGTGTGAACAGTGAGTTGTTGGGCGCAGAGTGGCCATAGCCAGTGGAAGTGAACTCTTATCTGGATGCCATATTTCTGAGTTCTGTGTGGGCGCCTGTCGCCAGTTTGCTGCGATGCTGTTTACATGCATGAAAAGTGTGAATGAGACGAGTCTGATTGCATTGGTATCAGAGTTGGTACCCGCTATTCCATGCGCGTTGTCGTGTGCAGGGCCTGAAGCGCCATAGCAGAGGTGGCCGCCGAGGGGTACAGTCCGCCATAGCGGACCTGAGGTTGGAGAAGCCGCCGCACACCTGCAAGAAGACCACGACGACGAC